CGCGAGCAGCTGGGCTCGGCGCAGGCAGCCAGGCGGCGCTCCTGCGGGCCCCGGGCGTGCGGCTAGCCGGGCCCAGCGCCCAGCCCCGCGGGCGGGCGGCGGCGGGCGAGCGGGCGCAGGAGCGAGGAGAGCGGCGCAGCCGGGAGGGAAGCCGCCGGGGCGAGGCGAAGAGGTGGCGGGAGGAGGAAGAGGAGGAGGAGGAGACTGCGGGGACAGGTGTCAGATAAAAGGAGGGCTCTCCTCCGCCGCCGAGGCATCATCATGGCCGCTAAGTCGGACGGGAGGCTGAAGATGAAGAAGAGCAGCGACGTGGCGTTCACCCCGTTGCAGAACTCGGACAATTCCGGCTCGGTGCAAGGGCTGGCTCCCGGCTTGCCGTCGGGGCCCGGAGCCGAGGACGCGGAGGCGGCCGGAGGCGGCTGCTGCCCGGACGGCGGCGGCTGCTCGCGCTGCTGCTGCTGCTGCGCCGGGAGCGGCGGCTCGGCGGGCTCGGGCGGCTCCGGCGGCGGCGGCGGCGGCCCGGGCGGCGGGGTGGGCTCGGGGGCGCTGTGCCTGCGCCTGGGCAGGGAGCAGCGGCGCTACTCGCTGTGGGACTGCCTCTGGATCCTGGCCGCCGTGGCCGTGTACTTCGCGGATGTGGGGACGGACATCTGGCTCGCCGTGGACTACTACCTGCGCGGCCAGCGCTGGTGGTTTGGGCTCACCCTCTTCTTCGTGGTGCTGGGCTCGCTCTCGGTGCAGGTGTTCAGCTTCCGCTGGTTTGTGCACGATTTCGGCACCGAGGACAGCGCCGCGACCGCCGCCTCCAGCTGCCAGCAGGCTGGAGCCGAGTGCAAGACGGTGGTCAGCGGCGGGTCTGCGGCCGGGGAAGGCGAGGCTCGTCCTTCCACGCCGCAGAGGCAAGCGTCCAACGCCAGCAAGAGCAACATCGCCGCCGCCAACAGCGGCAGCAACAGCAACGGTGCCACCCGGACCGGCGGCAAACACAGGTCTGCATCGTGCGCCTTCTGCATCTGGCTCCTGCAGTCACTCATCCACATCTTGCAGCTCGGGCAAATCTGGAGGTACTGTATCAGGGTGGGGATGGAGGGGTACCGCTGCTCTCACATGCCCACATGCCCACATGCCCACCACTCTGCTTCTGCGTGAAATCGTTCAGGATGGCTGGTAGTGCGCCTGGTCACTCGGTTTTTCTTTTTTCTAAACTGCTCTCTCTCTCTCTCTCTCTCTCTCTCTCTCTCTCTCTCTCTCTCTGTGTGTGTGTGTGTGTGTGTGTCCCTATCTCTCTGTCTCTACCTACCTTCCTGCCTGTCTTCCTACCTAGCCTACCTAACTCATGTCAGGTGAGGACGGGGACCGAAGGGCAAGAACGTGTCTGTGGTTCTTGTGCTTCCCATCTTCTTCCGGGCTCAGTGGCTTTACTCTGTATGCTACAACTTCTCCACAGACTGTGGACTTATCGTTTCAGTAGTGGAGGGTGCCAGTCACACTTTCTAAAAAATCGTTTTCATTAGATAAATTTGTGATGTGTTGTAATTTGAATATTTTCCTTTGTTCCGGGGAGGGGGGGGGTAAGTTGACAAATTCGAGGAAAATAGGAATTGTTGCTGCTCAAAGGAACCCACACTTGAGTGATAACTGTTAAAGAAAGTACTGTGCTCAAAGTAGTGTTAATAAATATTGTATTTGCCATATACATAACATAAATATCTATAATTTTGTATAGTGTGTGTGTGAGTGTGTGTGTGTATGCATGCACACTAGTGATGAGACTTTAGGAGATCCTGTCTCATATAGTACTTGCGGTATCCCTTTGTCTACTTTCGAATGTCGCCGAGAACCCTTGGAAAAGGGGTGGCAAGCACATGGGGTAAACTTTCGCTGTGCTTGGTATTTTCCTTGGCTGATTTGCTGCTTATCACTTGACCTACCACGTCTCTTTGCAGAGTAGTCGCTTCACTTACACGCCAAAGTACAAGACTATATTTATTGGGTGGGCCCCCAGACATGCCTGCGCAGATGTAGGAATGTGGCGGCACAATATGCTCAGAGATCTGTTCTTTTGACTTTTAGGTGTTTGGTAGCTTTGGAACACAGTGTTTAACATATTAAAAAATGTGTGTGGAAGAATATAGAGGCGAAAACCCTAGAGATCCCTTGGTTTTAAAGCAACTTAGTAAATACGTAGAGCATGGAGTGGAAACTCCCTACCAAGTCCACTAATTCCGGTCATTGTTTTACACTTTGACCTGTAGTTTATTATACTAAAAGGCTTTGTAGGTCATCAACACAGTGAAGTGTCCCACGAAGAAACAGCTCAGAGAATTTGTAGACTATATTCACAGACTTTCTTTTTATTTTCTTTCTGGTGAACAGCAGTGTCCTCATCTGAGAAGAAGAGTAAGTGTAGCAATTCCGTTGCTCTAATGTTTGTACTAACATTTGTAAAGCAGGGTGAGCAGGGCCTTAGTGACCTCTTGTCTTAGAAAGTAGAGAAGATGCTTTCTGGAGAAGCGGTCTATGGTGTGTCGTCAGACAGATTGATGTGGAAACATCCATGTTTCAGACTTAGGAAGACTTTCTAAAACATCGGTTAACTGTGGCAGCTCTATTTCCTACAGACAACTGTTGGAAGGCCCACGTTGGGTATTCTCCTTCAATGATGAGAAGGAACTAGAAGGATTGTTTAATTGCTGGGATTATTTAGTGGCTTGGATGTACACGGTTACCAATTTTAACCTAGCAATGTGGTACAGAGAACTTACCATCCTATTTGGTTACTTGTGAAAACATTTAAAAGATTTTTCAATCACTTCCTTTTAATTATCTGTAAATCATCACTGCACGTAGTTATTAGTTATAGTCACCGAAAACCTGTGCATGTTTCTCCTACAGATCGATATTTTCTGTAAAGCACGTGGTGTCAAACTCAGTGAACTGAAGAAGTAATTTTAATTATAGTGTTTATTAGACTTTCGAATCTAAACATTTTCCCAATTGAAAATAATGTTCATTTCTTCAGGAAATGATGTTGAAAAAGTGAGAAGTGGGAAAGCCTGTGGTACAAAGTATCACAATGACACTTAACCACTGGGTCAGTGTGTCTAACTAGGAGCCATGAGAGAACAAGGAGTGAAAAGGTGAGGCTGACCACAGAAAGGAAACCATAGGCTGTCAGACAAGTGTTTTACATCATGAACCCTTGGAAGAACACATGGCTCCCTTTTTGTTAAGCAGACCTATAAAATATTCCTGTGAGACATCGAGGTTTACTTTGATAATGGGCTCATTCGGGTTGAAATGTTCTTTTTGGAAATATCAGGTCTTTGTCATCACTGTCTAATGAGATGTTCACTGTGGAGATCTGAATTGTTATTCAACATATTATTTTGTTTTGGTTCAAATATTTAAGGAATCTCAGGGTAGTCTGGGAGCACCAGATCCAAAAATGACCTCATTATTTTTTTTTTAGATATGCTTTTAAGTTACTTTGACCTAATGTAGAGAACTGTAAAGAATGAGAATAATGTGAATTTAACACAGAGATGATTTTTGATATGTCTCAATTGTTCCTTGTTAAAATTTGAATAGAACTGTGGAGGTGGGTATGCACCTTTCATAATGAGTGGTAGAAAGGGCATACCTAAGACAATTGCATTAGGTACAGTGAATAGCTTAGATCACTGTAGATGTGTAAATCAGAAGCATTACGTGGCCCCTTCCGCTTCTACTTTTCAAAGCATTCTACCCAAATACTGCACTAACACAAGGGTACTGAGTGGTTTAAAGCTCAGGGGCCATTATTCATGTTTTAACATACTACAGTCTTGAAGAAGATAGATTTTCAAGCAGGTGTCTAATTTTTCATTGCATTGCCCTGAAACTGTAGTTATTTTAGGGAAGGATCAGAGTTTAAAATCTTTCTATAGATAAAATCTTTTAAAATAACATCCAAGTGTTTGTTTGTTCTGAAATAAGCCATTTAAAATGTTGTGCTCAAAATTTGCATGCATTATACATACATTATGAATACAACTGCTAAAAGCAATGATACATGTTCATTTTAATTAAAGTTTACTAATGGGAAATTAATGGAAGCTTTTAAAGTCATAGGAGGTGGTACTGGGAAGGAGCCATACAAAATAATGAAGTGAGTTTTTTCTACCACGTGGAAAGAGCAACCATAGTTTTAAGGAACCATGCCTGCAAATGAACGAGAACATGTTTCTTTATTACTCTCTTTATATAATTCCAGAATGACTAACATTGCAGCTCTGCCAGTGGGAATCATGAATGGCTATGCTTATAATAATGTCATCTCCAAAGAAAAGTTATTCTATGTCATTTCTAAGCCTGAGTTAAAACAGTGATGGTAATGTTGTCAGGAAATGTCAAATCCTCACCTCTTAATCTCCTAAGTTTACAGTAAACTGGAAGGGAATGGTTAGTAACTCTTTATATAAGAAAACCAGCTTAGAATGATTAAGTTTTCACCCTGATAACCCACGTTATATCTAGCATTCAGACCCAGGTTTATCTTACCCTGTAGTTCATGTTCTTTCTGGATTAATTGGCTAACTTCCTGTGCCCACTTGGATGATAACAACAACAGTATGTGTAAAAGATGATTTTCTGCACTGAGGCTGTCAAGGTGGAAAGGGAGTTGGACTTTAGGTACATGGACTGATCTTTTCAATGGACACACATCAGATAAGGGAAGACTCGAGACATGTGCTCATAGTCCAGGGCCAGCACTGCTCTTGCTCTCTCACTTGGTTGTTTCATTAAGTCCTGGCTGCATAGCGTGGTCCTACGGTGGCCTTTGTGATTAGGTGGTACAATGTCTGTAAACACACAAATAGCACTTGCAAAGAATATTGGTACTAGAGATAAGGGAAAGAGAATGTAGGCCACAGTTCTAAAATATGTGCTTCACTGACTGTTAGCCCTGAATCCTGACATAGCTTAGGTAATATTGCTGGTTCATTGAATGACTACTTCCTGTATATCTGCATTCTTTCCTTGTGTATGCTCATTATTTTATTTATTCAACTTATATTGAATACCTACTATGTGCAACACACTGTTCTAGATACTAGCTTTCCTAAGATCAATAAAATATATATCTTGGTATCTGTTCTCTATTGAGGAAGACAGAATAGACACAGATAACATCAAACTAAGGCTAAGTCTTTCAATAGAAACAAGAAATTAAAAAAAAACCTTGATGGTTCCTGTGAGGCAAGGGGATGTCTGTATAAAAGTTTAAATGATGAGAAAACATTATGATTCACTTTAGAGCCGTGAGTACAACAAAGCATAAATGCTGTGGGGCACGGAAATGACCAGGATACACATGTGCCTCAAACTCAGAGCTGTGGAGAGTAGCTAAAGACGACTGAATAATTCTGTGTACTAGATAATGAAAAGGATTGAGATTTTGTTCTGAAGTCAAGGAGGAACCTTTGAAGGATTATAAAGGACAGGGTTTGCAAACGTGTTTCAACATTGTTTTATTCAAAGCAATTTTTCACAGCTGAAAGTCTCAGAAGAGATGTCATTATTTCCTCTGATTCACCAGTGTCTCTTCCATTCATAATATACATGAACTTTGCAGGTCTTGATTTGGAGTATTATTGAAACATGTAAAGAAACTCAATACAATGAAGAATTATTTCTCAAAGAAACAGACTGTTTAACTGTATCTATACAAACTACAAAAGAAAACTCTGGACCAAAACGTATTGTTTTGTAGTTTTCTTTTTTAAAGAGCTATTGCTACAGATATGGTGATCCTTGCCTTATGCAATTTGTATTACATGTTAGGAGCAAATTTGCTTCTACTTTAAAATCTCTAAAGACCTTCTTCTGTTTTTCATTTGGTCCTCAACTAATGTTTTAGGTAGTACTTCCATTCTGCATATATGTAAATTGAAAAAGAGACTTCTAAATGTTATCCTCTGTAGGTCACATAGTTTTGTACAGATCCTAGGGTAGGGTTTAATGTCCCCAGTCGAGGGAGGGAACAAGCTAAACAAGGCCAGCAAAGTTGAGGGGGATGATG